GCAAAGAGAAGGTCATACTCTCCAAGCGGCAGTCCGGTGGCGGAAGTGTAATGCTTTGGGGCGCTTTCAGTGCCAAGGGAACGTCGACGCTTGCTATTCTGGAGGGCAATCAAGACAGCGGCGCATATGCGTACACGCTGTCCGACCATCTGTTCCCGTACATCGACTACCATTTTCGCCGCGAGTGCATTTTTCAGCACGACAATGCCTCAATCCATGCGTCGAAGGAGACCAAGGAGTTTTTGAACGAGCACAATGTGCACGTCATGGATTGGCCGGCAAAGTCTCCAGACTTGAATCCCATCGAGAATATTTGGGGTGTTCTTGCGCGTGCGGTTTACGCCCATGGACGTCAATTTGCGTCCAAAAATGAGCTCATTGCAGCCATTCTCAAGGCGTGGGATGGTATCGGCCAAGACCTCATCGACAAGCTGTTGAAATCGATGCAGAAGCGCTGCGTGAGTGTCTTGGAACTCAAGGGGAGTAAGACAAAGTATTGAGAGCAATTTGGATCGTAATCGACAAACATTGATGCACTTTATTGACGTGGTCTTATACTTATTGCCATCGACGATTTTATAATCTGTACACAATGTGAGATTGAATGTTTAAATTGCCTTTGTTGCTGCACTTACAGGCCTCAATATCGTATTCAATCAATTGTACGATATGGCGCACCGTTGTTTTCAGGTGGTTGTAGCGTAACGTCCAAATTGGTGGGTGGTCTTATACTTTTTGCCAGCACTGTACATGCATCTTTATTCAAGTTGTCGCGTGCGAGTCAACCAGGAACTGAATCACTTCGACGGAATCAAACGACGTGTACATGCGTGCGAGAGTTACATATTATTATTCGCTTGAACATTTTTATTTTGATATTTGTATTAAGTATGCGTATTTTTATTTATATCCATAATTATTTATGTTTTGCACAAACGATTTATACATCCTGCAGATTGCGCAGGCGTATATGCGGGAAAATCGCGATGCAGGTCAGCGATTTCTCAATGCATACTGCACAACGGGTCACGAAACTCTCCATTCCTCATCATAACAACCAATACTATCAACAGCATCTTATTGCGTATCGCCTGAATCAACAGCTGTAGAGAAAGACAACTTCGAACTTGCCAAATTCGTCGTATTTCAAGAACAAGCGTGTACATGCGGGTAAGATGCCTCATGCCAGAGTGAGCTGTGTATGCGCAGACCATGCTGCATAGGCTGATCTAGTAATGAACTATCTTGTAGTACGAGTAGTATTGCTCTAAGTATTACACAGCTCGAGAAAAGCGTCCTCAAAGTTCGCCCATTTTCGACATGTCGTCCGAGTGCCACAAAAACATGCACGTGCGCAATAAAAATATTGCATCCGCAAAAGTGATGAAATATCCGGAACTGTTGTGTTTTCAATGTGAAACGGCGCGAATTTTTTGAATGCAAGGCATCGCACATGCAGATATAAAACGTGTCAGTACAGCAGTCAATGTCCCTCTCCAACAAGTTGGATGACTGCGAGGAAACTCCAGTTTCGCTTTCGCCAATCATGAATGCCTCGATTTTAGCCTTCCAGAACTTCGTGTTAGGATGAGTTATCGCCAGTTCCCGCATCTCCCTGTGTAGAAACCACGTCATGGTACGAATTGAGATTTATATAGACGCACTGCCCAGTCCCTAATTACAGTATGGCGAAGTCGCAAGCTTTTTGGTGTGTTCGTGGTCACAGCGGTTGTTTATCGAGCTCGATGTGTTGTGATAAGTTAACTTCATTTTCAACAAGTATTGCAGGAAAGCGCACAGCCTGCTATAGGGCGGCATAACGCACACATAAACAACTGGCAGAACGAACCACCACTAGCCTTAACGGCTTGGACGCTCACACTCTACAAGTGATCAGCCTCCTACAGCACGCTGGCGAATCGCCAGAGACCCTAGCATGTATTCATTCCTTCGACACAGCCAAGAGACAGCAACGTCCGCGCCAAGCTGTGTGCGCTACTGTATCACGCAGCAACACACAGAGCATGTCTTGGACGTTGCTGCCTCGTTGGAAGTTGGCAAGGTTGGCTGCCATGTTTGGGCGACCTTTCCAAATCTGGGTATCATGGGATAATTACGATGAAGCTATATATTATGATGACCGCAGTGGGATACAACGTGTCTGCGCAACCTAACGGTAAAGTTTGGAGCTGTCATGCTGGAGCTTGCGGGTTCAAATCCCGCCGATGACTCAGGGCATCCCCAATGGTGCGACGGTAAACGCTATTTTACCGTTTTTGGGATCAAATATGCAGTTTTGGCAACCCCAACGGTGCGACGGTATCTACCGGAAACGGCATACTAGTATTTTTACCGCGAGACGGCAAATCGGTCATTTTTACCGTTTTGTGACCACCCGACGGTAAAATACCGGAACCAATCATAAACCACAAAGCATCAAATTTCCACCAATAAAACGCATGTATTTGAGCATGGACATTTATTTCCATACCAATACTGACACTGCTGGAATGGCTCTCAACGGGCGGGGTGCGAACTTCACCACTGACGAGGACTGCTAGCTAGTTTGTTCGTGGTTGAACATATCCCAAGATGAGTCTAAGGGGGGCGGGCATAAGGCCGAGCAGTTTTGGGCCCGCGTGGGGGCGACTATTGCACCTATTGCGATCCGGACTGCCATCGCACAGTACGATCCTTAGCTACCTGGTGG